GAAAGAAAGAAAGAAAGAAAGAAAGAAAGAAAGAAAGAAAGAAAGAAAGAAAGAAAGAAAGAAAAGAGAGAGAGAGAGAGAAGCACACCAGAACAACTGTATTAATAAAAGGAACCTCTGATTGCACCACACTGCTGTTGTTCTGCAACACACATGGCTGTAGAGCAGCAATTAGTATGTTGTTCAGGGATTATTGCTCGTACCTGAAAAATACTGACCTGTGTGGCAGCCCTGCATTTGGGGATGGCTGAGGTATCTCTTTGCTTAACTGGGGTCCAAGGAATGCTCCAGTGAATTGAAATGGGCAGATGGAGGGGCCCTACTTGCAAGCTCAGCGAATCCACTCCTTCAGCAGCTTTGTTCAGACCCCCACTCTTTTCCCTTTCAATTTGAGCCTGTTTAATGGTGATTTTTGCTTTTTATATAATGCTTATTATTGTTAACAACCCCTTATAGTTATAGTTAGTTCCCCTAAGTATTATCTAATCTTTATCCTAAATAAAAATCATGTTTAGATCTAACTTAAATAGCTCAGCCACATGATTGAGACTACTGTCCAATGCATGCCAACACACCTGCATAACCACTTTAAATTAGAATCTGCACTCATCACAGCCTAGTGAAATTTCCATTTTTTTAAAAAAGTTCAGTTTATGTTAATCTCTGAGAAAGTCTTGTACCATTTAGAACTTATTTATATACAGTGCTAATGGACTTCAGAATTTCTCCCCATCCTACCCCAACCCAACCCAACCCAACCCAACCCAACACACACAATCTGGGGCTCTCTTCTCTTACAGAAGAAAGACCCAAATCTGCAACCATGACAGACAGGACTTGGTTTTATGCTGCACAGATAATTCAGTAAGTTTAGCTTCAATAAGGGTTGAAGTCATTTATTTCTAAATTCCTCTATAACTAAAGAAGCATGTGACTAACTTTGCTGTTGCCCTGGGTGCAGCTGTTTGATCACTGTGAGGAACCAGATGTTCAACCTGATAGACCTTTGCTCCAACCCAGCTGCCTTCTTAACTTATTTCTTTAGTAAGCCTGCAGCTCCAGATCTGGGATGTGCATTCGTCATAAAATCTGCTGGTTGGGAGAATGCCTCCCCTGAATTTGAAATGCAGTCCTCATTCACTGGCAGATCTGCCTTTGCCCTTACATACTACTTACTTGAAAGAGGGATGTGCTTGCATGCACTCTTTTTTAAGAGACATAACTTTTTTCTGCCACTGAACTGTAGCTATTCTGAAATTGCAAATCTGCCAGTGAACAAGGCTCTAATTCAAGTGAGAACCAGAAGCCATCTCACTTGACAGATCTGATATTCCAGAACATCACATTCCTGATATTACAGGTCTGATATTCCGGAATATCAGATTTTATCCAGAGATGAGGCTGAATTCATATACAAGCAGTCCCTGGATTAAGAACACCCGGATTACAGATGATCCATAGTTAAGAACAGAGCCTATTGTAGCAAAATTCAAGTTAAATACACAATGATTCGAGTTCATTACACAATACTATGTTCCTGCTTACATACAAAGTCGACTTAAGGACAGACCTTGGGAACAGAACTCGTTCTTAAACTGGGGACTACCTGTGTCACACTAAGCAGGGGTTTGATAAACAAATCATAGTGGCCGAGATCATACATAATGTTAAATTTTGAAACATGGCTTCAAAATTATCACATCAAAGCAAAACCAGCAGACCGCATTCCTGGCTTAACAGAGGGATGAATAATAGGAAGTGGGACAGCGACATGGCAACATCACTGGCAGAGGTCAATTTGTGAGGGACTTAGGGAGGGTTAACCAAAATAGTCAGGCCTACAAGAGCTACTTTAAGGCTTAGTTTTACAAATAGTGAAAAATCTTGCTACTGGCTTGTCCCATAAATGGTGTTCCAGTGTTTTCATTAATATTTTTGATTAGCAATATATGTACCTGGTTGGCCATATTACCAGTTCAAATATAAATACTTGCTGCAAGCTGGCTGGAATGGGCATCTACAGACACAAGAGCATGGCAAATATATATTTCTAACAGGTAAATAATATACAAAATGTGAATGCCTCCTAAATCGTAGTGCTAATTAAATAACAGAGGTAATAGTAGGAAATGTTGGGTGCCTAAGAAAAAATATCTGTACACTAAAAGGATATCACAGGTAACAAAAAAAAAAAAGATGTGGCAGATTTTTTATATCCTAAATGTTCAAGCCATCCATATATTCCTTCATACACATATACATTGCTTTATATATTTTTACCTTAAAACCTGATATTGATTTGAATATGAGGTGCAATGCATATAAGATATTCAAAGGTTGCCAATAATGCTAGAAATATAAAAGTATAATGATTTTAATGTTTAGTTAATTTTATTGTTAATAACTTGGTAACATATTTTGGATAAAGAGGACCTTGCTCAGTGGAAAGTAGTTGGTGTTCATCACTCCCTGGTTTTCTGTTTTTTGTTTCGCTGCACTGAGCCCCATACTTCTAGGAGAACTGCGGAGGATCCTGCCCATCCTATGACAGCAAACCAATTCTGTTCCAGCTGCAGCTCTTTGCAGGCGTGGTGACCATTTAAGCAGCCTACCTTTGGTGGTTGGCCCCCACTGGCAAACTAACACCAAGGGAGACCCCAAGGTCCTTGCAAGTTACTCCTTTGGGGAGTGAGAAGGTCAATAGTCCGCCCCTTTTGGTTCCTGGACCTAATGGGTAGATTATTTGGAAGAATGGTGGGCCATCAGCAGGTTTGATTAGTTTCTCTAGGTTGAAGCTGTCTGACCCTGGTCCTCAATGAATAACACAGGACTTTTTCAGGTAGTGGCCACTTCCTCAGTAGCCTATTGGGATAAGTTTGCAATACATTTTAAAAGCAAAGTTGTTTATATCCATTCCAAATTAAAACAACAACAACAACAACAACATTGTAGATCCTAGAGAGTTATTGGGGGTGCTGCCTGATTAAATTCTAGCAGGGTGGATCTGGAAATATGTCCACCGCCTTGAAGGAAGTGATGGTATGGCCTCTCTTGAAAACACCCTCCCCAGACTCTTTTGGACAACCACTGCAAAGTTGCAAATTGTCTTGGGCAAAGTGCTGCAGAGGGTGATGGCTATCCAACTACAACTCTTCTAGGAAACAGTTCATTCTGCCTTCAGGCCTGGATATACTGTAGCACATAAAAGTCTTAGTTGTTCTGATTAATGACATTTACTGGGTAAGATGCTTGGGGAATGCTACCAGGCTAATTTTCCTGGATCTTTGAGTAGCTTTTAACACCACTGATCATGGTGTTGGATAAACTCAGTAAGTTGTGGATTCAAGGCACAGTTATGGCAATTCCATTCCTACCTGTAAGACCATAACCAGAGAGAGACAGTTTGGCCCCATCATGCTTGGGTTTATTTATTTATTTGATTTATATGGCTGCCCATCTTGCGAATATGACTCTGGGTGGCTGTTTTAACATGTTAAAACAGTAAAAAGCAATATTAGCAAAGAATAAAAAAAAAAACAGTTGTGGTGTAAAAGTGTTCTTTTTTCCCCTGGTGCAAGTACACTAATAACACTTAACTCTTTCTCTCCTTCATGCTTGAATCAGGAGGGGCTATGTAGATGTTTGACAGTTGCTTGGAGGCTGTGATGGATTCAAAGAGGGCCAAGAAGTGAAGCTGAATCCAGATAAAACAGAAGTACTTTGGTTATTGTTTCTCAGGCCTGAGAATTAGAAAAGTGACCTGTATAGAATGAGGTAGCGCTTCCTCCAAAGGAAAAAGCTTGGGCTTCTCCAGTTATTCCAGTCTATCACAAGAGGTACAAGAGGCCTCAGTGACAAGGAAGATTTATACTCTGCTTCAGCTGGTGCACTAGCTGTGACCCTAAACCAAGATAGCCTTCAGTGATCCATATCCTGATAACCTATCAAATGGATTATTACAGAGCACTCTACATGGGGCAACCCTTGAAAATTGGTCCAGGAGCTGCAACTGGTGAGGAACACAGAAGAAAACAGTTATCGAATGAGATGGCTAAATTGCATCACACAACATCAGCCCTGCCATATCTCAAATGAACAAGAGTTCTGCTCTATTTCCAGAACGATCACTTGTTAGTCTCAGATAGTATGGGCTGAATTATGAGAGCCATTTCATCAGAAAATGCTAGCATTTTTTCAGTTTAATAAGCAGAGCAAGTAGAAGTCAGCTTTTGCTTTCTAAGGAGATGCTGCTTTCTACTGTCTCCAAAGGTAAACTTTTGATATGGATGTCTGTGTGTGCCTAAGTGCACACTTATGCACACAACAGAATGAAGGCTTGCAGTAACCTCTGCTGACTGTTCTGATTCTATTTCAAGAAATACGGCAAAGGTGACAACTAAAGCAGCTGATGTTCAGGAAAATCTTCTACTTTAAATCTGGCTTTTTTACATCATTGGCAGAGTCACTCCCATTATTCTATCAAGCCATATGTTGTCTCATGCCATGTCCTTGGGAATCTTCTTTCTTTGCCCTCTTTGGCTACTGGCTATTATTCAATGTTGGTTGATACATCTGTTAGAATATTCTAAGCTTTACTCTCTGATTAATTCATCTTATTTGGAGTGGTGCCTTTTATTTATTTATTTATTTATTTATTTAGGCTCAAGGGCTGGGCTCCATACTTCAGAGCCCCTCTGGTAGTAGTAGTTGATAGGATACACAGAGTCCTTTTTCCCCACATCTGGTCATACCAAGACAGAACCATTCAGAAATATAAATGTATATACATGCATAAATAGATACCTATAGTAGTAATGACAGTTCCTGCGAAGAAAAAGGCACTTCCAAGGTCCCAGTGGCTGCTGCTATTAGAAGAATCTCCAACAGGGTTGACTCCTGCATTGGTTGCATTAATAACCCGCTACAAAGAAATTAAAAGCAAAATGAGAGCACAGTATATTGTAGCTGAGCAAAATATCTTGTCTTCCAAATCCAAGATTGACAGTGCTTGCTGCCAATGCCTCTCTCTAAAGTTTCAGGCAGTAAAAAGAATTACTCATTGTCTACTACCTGACCTTCCTAATACAAGATGCCTGGGAATTAATCTCTCAATTTCTACATGCAAAGCTGTGTTCTTCTAACACTGAGTTAAGATGGAGTTGGGTGGCTATAACACTTTTAAATAATAAAATAAAATAAAGTCTCCTTCAAAAACCATGGGTACTCTGAACTACATTGATTTACATGGATACATCTCAAAAAGATGCAAGATGTTGCATTTTGCAAGATACAGCAAGATACAGGCCACAGGAAAATAACTTACCTGTGTACATATTTAAGGTGTGCACTACCCTGTTTAAATAATCTTCTTAGGTCATCCTTCCTATTCAAGCCTTCTCTAATATGGCAACCTTCACCTTTGTTAGGATTATAACCCTTAGTATTCCCAGCTGGCTCTGAATTGATAGACCATGCTGAAAGGAATTTTGGAATTTGTAATTCCTGTGCTTCTGGAAGGCATCAATTTGGGGAAGATTCTTTGAGCTGTTTGCTTGTTATTTATTAATTACAATCTAATAAAAGAAAGGTTTAAAGGTAGCTCATAATCAAATGGAAAAGTAAATGAAGCATCAAAAATAAATACTTTGGTCTCCACAAACATCAAAATCAACAACCTGGCTTTTAATTAATACATGCAGAGTTCTATAACAGTTATTTCATCCATTTTTCAACATGTTGTTGAAGGCTTTCACGGCCGGAATATGATGGCTGGTGTGGGTCTTCCAGGCTGTGTGAAGAACTGCTCCTGTCTGTGCTCCTGCTCTCTGAAGATGCCGGTCACAGATGCTGGCGAAA